CTGTGTGTGTGTGTCAATTGATTACAGAAATAATGCAGAAGCTCCTCCAAGATACCCAGAGAAGAATGAGATATGTAGGAAAATACACGATTGATTATTATTTTTTTTCCCTGAGAACGACTATTGGATGAATGTTGGGGAATGTTGGATGGAATGTTGGATAATGTTGGGGGAATGTTGGATGAATGTTTGGGTGGAATGTTGGGTGAATGTTGGGTCAATGTTGGATGAATGTTGGATAAATGTTGGATGAATGTTGGGTCAATGTTGGATGAATGTTGGATAAATGTTTGGGTGGAATGTTGGGTGAATGTTGGGTGGATGTTGGATGAATGTTGAGGGAATGTTGGTGGATGTTTGGGAATGTTGGAGGAATAATAGTTGAATGTTGGGTGAATGCTTAAAGGAATGTTTCTCTCCTACGTTGGATTGATCGAAGTTAATGACACCTAGTGTAATTAAGCTTCTTCCACTTAGCTCTAAGGTAAAGGTCAAGGTAGGTCAAAAGGGTGTGGCTAAACAACTCACCTTGATCGCCAGGTGTTGTTGGTCAGGCCGTCACAAGTGTGTTAGGTCCCCCCCCCCCTCCCTCCTCTCTTGGCCAGGTGACCCAATATTTATAATCCTCCCTGCGTTACAAATGACCTCGTATTAGGGTCACCAGTTAGTGTGACCTCGGATATATAATATACTCACTAAGGTCCAAAATCGTAAAATAAAAAGGTTTTACGATAATTTCCGAAATGTCTTAACTAAAGGTGTTTTGAGTGTATTTTAATGTTCACCTGAGTTATGTCATTTACAAGTATTACCTGCATGTGTGGTGTAAAGGTAAACTACGAAATGTCTTATAATGTATCGTAAGTCAGGTAGAATTTTTTAACATGTGAATGAAAGGAAAAAAAAAGGTGGACGAATGTTTGTGAATCTGAAGGGAAGACAATTTGTTATAATAGGTGGTGTGTGTGTGTGTGTGTGTGTGCGTGTGTGGCGGCCTCTTGACTACATTGGTCTACTCTCCATGCATGTTAGAGCGTCTCCGTCGTGCATATTACATATGTTTATTAAGAACATCGACCACCAACTGGACACACACACACACACACACACACACTCTACCTCGTGCTGAAGTTGTGGTACGATTGTTGGGGTTCTTGGGGTGGGCGTGTGGGTGGTTGGAGAGGGCGGTGGGTGGCAGGTGGGTTGAGGGGGGGCGTCTTAGCGGAGGGTGGAAGGGTAGAGGTCATCTGTAGGAGTGACTGAAGGTGAAATATTTACAAAGTCTTGGTCTTTTTGCTTTAGGAACTGATTCTTAAATATTCCTACGCCATTGTCCTTCGTAACTCGGAATTAACGAGACTGTAGTTACTGAACGTGATGTATTTGACGGTTATTAGACGTCATCTTAATATTACTTCGAGAGATTGACTTCACCTTTGAGATTCTTCTTTGTGTCGTAGTTACAGTGAGTCCAGGTGGAAGTGGTCCCAGGTGGAAGTGGTCCCAGGTGGAAGTGGTCCCATGTGGAAGTGGTCTCAGGTGGAAGTGGTCTCAGGTGGAAGTGGTCTCAGGTGGAAGTGGTCTCAGGTGGAAGTGGTCCCAGGTGGAAGTGGTCCCAGGTGGAAGTGGTCCCAGGTGGAAGTGGTCTCACGTCTTTCTGGAGTCGCCTCTCAGTACCTGGTGGCCGCAGTGTACGATCAATGGTAATCCAAGACGTATTGGCGTGATTTGAACAGTGTTGTATGTTCATCAATCTTGAACGAATGACCGCATCAGAAAATCATAACACCTGTTCACACGACTTGAAAGACGTACTGTATATCGATGGTGACCAATAACAGCCTAACGTAAATACCTTCTTCAATCATGTCTCACCGAGAGATGGCGTGGACCAATCACATTTAAGCGCGGGTAAACGTGTCCCCAATCACATTCCAGCGCGGGAAAAAATCAAAACCAATCACCATTCAGCGCTGTAAAATATGAACCAATCACACTTAAGCACAGGAGAGCATTGACTATACTTGCCATATTTATTTACAACTTGACTTCCAGGATTCTTGGCCACAGGCGGGAGTAAATCGATCCAACACAACAAAGGCTTTAAGAGCAAGCACAAATCACGGCGCTCTATTGGTAAATATGTCAAGCGACTGCCCTGAAGCACACCAGAGTAACCTAACCTAACCTAACCTAACCTACCCTAACCTAGCCAGAGAACTTGTGGCTTCTTTCCTCTGACGCTGAAGAAGAGACGCGTGTGTGTGAGCGTGTACATTGCTTGTGTGGGCATGTGTGAGCGTGTGTTGGCGTATAATACAAGGATTTTTGCTTGCATACGTGAATGGTGGTATTATCATGTACGAGTTTCTGATTGGTAATTCTGAGGAAACGAATGACCAATCACAGCTCTCGTGTCCAAAGTTACATGTTAAATCTTTCACCAATCACAAGCCGGGGTTTTTTTTTCTTCTACTCTTCCCTGCCAGGAGAACCTTATTGACCAATCACAGACCGTCTTTGTAGCTCGTTCGTCAAACAACAGGTAATATTTTCCTCTTGGGCTCATTGCAACAGTGGAACAGGTGGAACAGGTGGAACAATTGGAACAGGGGGGACAAGTAGAATAAATGGAAAAAGTGGAACAGGTGGAACAAATGAAAGGGGTAGAACAGGTGAAACAAGTGGAACAGGGGGGAACAAGTTGAACAAGTGGAACATGAGGAACAAGTGGAACAGGGGGAACAAGTGGAACAGGGGGAACAAGTGGAACAGGGGGAACAAGAGGGACCATAACAAGACTCATACCTACGTGTTTATTTCCGGTAGAATGTTTGTTATGCGCGTCTCTGTGGACATGTAGACTACGTGTGTGGCTGCGACGACATACATGTGTGTACATATAACATCGTGTACGTGTCGAGTGTGTAATATACACGATCTGGTCATCCTGGACATGTGTACGTGTGTAGGCTACGTGGCCATACCAGTTTATGTATACAAATAGTAGATGTGTGTACGTGTGTGTGCGTGTGTATGATTTTTAGATTCCACCATTTATCGTACATATAACCTTGTAGACACGCACGAATTTTTTTAAAACATGTGCTTTTATGTACGTGTCTCAAGGAAGATACTACCTAACATGTACATACATTATCCGTGTGGACATGGAGGTGTGTATGTGTCCCAGCGTTGTCCTGATGAGCGTGTGAATACGTCGTCAGGTTAGGTTAGGTTAGGTTAGGTTAGGTGACGAGGCGGTCGACTTCACGAAGGAATTTTGTTGATCTTTTTGTCTGGTTGGTTTATCTGGGGGTAATGGGGGCTACCACTATCATCATCTGCTTCCTCACTTATTAATGCCGGGTTGCTGGCCCAGGTGGTTACGGGTCGTGTAACACAGGAGAAATACTATTAGGGTATACTGTATATCCAGGTCTTGTAACAGATGGCAGTATAGTACGGGTCGTGTAACAGACGAGATGTTACAGGCTGTTATAAACGGGAGTAACTAACCTAACGTACTTTTTGACCCTATCACATTTAATGAAGTTAAATTTAAGTAACTATTAAAGAGTGTGTTAGAGAATGCGTGAGATAGGTGGGGTAAACACTGGTTTGGAAACAGAGTAGTGGATGAATGGAACAAGTTACCAAAGATCATCATTAACTCGAATACGCTGAATTGCTTCAAACATAGGTTGGATGCTCATATGAGCAATAGGGGTTGGGTGTAAACGGGACTGCCCAGTATGGGCCAATAGGCCCGCTGCAGTTTCCTCCATTCTTATGTTCTTATGTTCTTAAGTGTGTGTGTGAATACGTGAGAGTGCGTGCATAGTTTCTAATGATGACTCTCTCTCTCTCTCTCTCTCTCTCTCTCTCTCTCTCTCTCTCTCTCTCGTGTGTATATAAGATGGCCAAGCAAGGAGGATTGAGTTAGGTGGCCAGTCATTTGTCATCACGGGTTATGAAAGACTTGGCCACCTTCCTGCAACGTGAACAATGCCGGGCCAACAGAGCCCAGTGGTGTGTGTGTGTGTGTGTGTGTGTGTGTGTCTGTGTGTGTCTCCTTATATATATACTTTAATTATTTGGTCTTAGGGCATGTGTATGTATATATGTATATTTTAAAGGGGTAAGGGGTAGAGAAGGGATAAGGGGTGGTGGTTAAGTAAGGGAAAGTCTAAGGGGGGTTAATTATGGATAAAATAATCTACGGACTATTATCACCGTGTTAAGAGTGTGACCTCGTTAGTGGTGGAAATAATAATAATAATAATAATAATAATAATAATAATAATAATAATAATAATAAACAAGAATAATAACCAAGATTTAATGTAAATATTTATCTGAGCAACTCGATAATTTTTCACAGGATGAACACCACTGCCTCTTATTGTTATTTTCCCAGGACGAGTACGAACACACTTCAACCACCTCCTACCACCCTCTTGCCCACCGTTCTCTTTGCCCACCATTCTCTTGCCCACCGTCCTCTTGCCCACCATCATCACTCTTTACCCACCATCACCTCTTGCCCACACAGCCCCACTCTTGCCCACCGTCATGAGGGGGCTGGTGCAGTACGTGACACTAGGGGTGTGTTGGAACATGGTGGGCAAACTTCATGACAGCAGCCTGCCCCTCGCCATGGCCCACTTGCCCACCCCGGGAGGTAAGTCTTGTCTATCTTACTCCACCTCACCTCACCCAACATCACCCCACCTCACCTCACCCCACCCCACCTCACCTCACCCCACCCTCCCCACCTCCCCCACCTCACCCCACCCCACCTCACCCCACCCCCCCACCCCACCTCACCCTAGCCCCCTCCCCACACACAAGCGAGTCAGGTAACATAACACCGTGTCACATAATGCTAACACACTGATGAACAATATTTGAACACGACCACCTCACCTTTACCTGTGCCACGCCTATATGGGCTACATATCTCCACACCCATCTGGCTACACAACCACGCCCACTTGGCTATAAATATTGACAGCCCATACACCAACCTCACAGCCTTACGTGACCTTAACCATCCCCACAGTGACCTAACATGACCTCATTATCCCACATGACCTTAGAGCGAGTTCAAATTACATATGACATTCATGTTTAACCTTTAACCAAATTTTCGTAGATTTATCCAAAAAATTTATTAGTAATAATTTTTTTTTGAGACTGTTTACGGTAGAAATTGACCATAATAAGAATTTAGCTCCGACCGACAGTGACAGCTCTCGGTCTTCATCCTCCTTCTTCCCGTTTTCTGTAATGTAATGTAAGTGTTGCTCAGGCGGATGTGGGAGTTAAGCGACCTTCACAATGTAAATAAACACAAGGATGGAGAAATATTACGTATGTATGTATGTCTGGGGTAATTACACGAAAGCGCTTGGGAACTTCGTGTTTTCTTCTTTCCTTGTGGTTATCAGCATATACCTGGATCACGCGCAATTACAGTGATTTACTTGCATATACTGTATATATATAACGCTCTTCCTGCCCACTAGTAGTAATACAGTATCTTGTTATGGGTGAAAGTGATGTAAACAAGGGTGTGAAAATGTACCTAAGTGTTCGTAAGTGTCGGAGACGAGATTCTAAATGACTGTAATTACTAGATTGCTGTAATTAAAGCTGTACTCTCTTAATTACAGCATCTGTGTCTCTGTCTTTGCAGTAAATTAAGTTGTTTACTAATCTACTATTGATTATTGCTGCCACACACACACACACACACACACACACACACACACACACACACACACCTTGTCATTGTAACACAGGGGTAGTAATTGATAGATGACCGCCCTCCACACTAACGCTTGAGCAATAACTTCGGAAATCAATGAAGAGATTGTTCCCTTGAGGGCGAGCATTACTTCTTGTGTTTGTTTAGTTGTTTATTGCTCTCCTTGTTTATTATTTTTGTTGTTTTTGTTTGTCTTTGTTGTTTTCATTTACCTGTGTCTTAGTTGCTGTGTTTGTTGCGTTTGTCTGTGTTTGTTTGTTTTTGTTTATTTTCAATTATTCTTCCATGTTTATTTACTTATTTTCTTTACACATCTAATTAAAAACTCCTCCACATATTAATAATAACCTCCAGTTAGCATGACACCGTAACATAACCCGTAGTTAATGATGGACAACTGTGCCATAACCCGTGTGATAATTACACTACTAATCATTACACCAAAATACCTCCAGAAAAATAATTATGTCCTGTGCTTAAAATAACACATTAAATTACATAATGAAGGGGGGGGGGGTAATTACGATCGTTTAATGGCATAGGATAATAATAAGGGTAATTACTAAGCTCATAAATTAGATAAGGATATTGGTTGAGGTGATGTTGACATGACCTCAGGTGTGTGGAGGTGATGTGATGGACAGGTATGAAGTACGATTACGTTAACCTTTTGAGTACGATTACTTTAACCCTTTGAGTACGATTACTTTAACCCTTTGAGTACGTTAACCAAACAAAACCTAACCTAACCAAATCTAACGTAACCTAATCCAAATTTATCTTGGTAAAATAATCACACCCAAATTTAACATTGATTGGCTGTTAATACGAGTTGTTTATGATATAGATTATGTAAACACTGGCTTAAAAATAAGAGCTTAAGTGTATTGACTAGATAATTACTGAGCTGCATTGTTTATGTCTGGTGATAATTTGTTTTAGTTTTCCTTTGAGTCCCGTTTTCTATTGTGATTAGAGAGAGAGAGATAGAGAGAGATAAAGACCGAGAGAGAGACAGGGAGATAGTGGGAAAGAGAGATACGGCGATAGAGAAGGATGGGGGAAGGGAGAGAGAGAGAGAGAGAGATATTCGCTCCTCCTCCTCCTCCTCCTCCTCCTCCTCCTCCTCCTTCCTTGTTAAACGTGCCGACTCACCTCCTTAGAGTTTTAACGAGCGCCATTGAACTGGTGATTGGCCAAATAAGACCAGCCTTAATGGACCCCCAATCATAGTGGACCCCTGAAGTTAATGAAGTCAAAACAACAAAAAGTGACTTAATGAATAAAGGTGTTGTGGAGTGGTGGTAATAAGGTACAGGTAACATGTTGATTGTTGATGCATATTCTCTCTCTCTCTCTCTCTCTCTCTCTCTCTCTCTCTCTCTCTCTCTCCGTCACTCACCGTCACTCTCTCCCCATACAGAGAGTGACCAGCAGTACCTCAAGAGTTACCTGACCAGGATGGAGAGCCGGAATATGGTCTCTCACAACTTACAGGGCCGCGACGTGCCCATTGCCCTCACCAACGTAAGCAACTCCTTGATTACTTGCTTGAGTGGGTGGTACCTTGTTTGAGTGTATTTCTTCTGGTTTGCTTGACAGATTGTGGGACTTGATTTAATGGCATTATTCTTGTTTGTGCAGATTAGTTTGTTTGAGTGCAGCAGTGTGAGTTTGTTTACTAGGATGTAGGTTAGCTTAAGTAAGGTTTCCATCTTGTTTGAGTGTATGTCTTGTCGATCTAATCTTTTATGCTTTCTCTCTCTCTCTCTCTCACCCTCTCTCACTCTCTCTCCCTCACTCTCTCTCTCACTCTCTCTCACCCTCTCCCTCACCCCCCTCTCCTCACCCCCCCTCTCTCACCCCCTCTCTCCTCACCCTCTCCTCACCCTCTCCCTCACCCTCTCTCTCCCCACCCCTCTCTCTCACCCTCTCTCTCCCCCTCTCTCCCTCTCTCTCTCCTCTCTCTCTCCTCTCTCTCCCTCTCTCCCTCTCTCTCCCTGTCTCTCCCTCACAGTACCCACCGTTCCTGCACATCATTAGGGAGAGAGGAGGCAACAAGGTGATGGGCAGAGGCATGAGCTGGGAGCTAATGATGACTCTGGCCAACTACTTCAACTTCACCCCCGTCCCTCTGGTGGCCGAGGATGACGTTATCGGCCTCAGGAGTGAGAGTGGGGAGTGGAAGGGCGCAATGCAACTCCTGGATAGTAAGGTGTGTTGATTTGGAGCGGAGTTGGATTATTGTCTTTGTTTCTTTCTTTGTTTCTTTAGTTTTCCTGCCTCACCATACACTGACATGAGTCTTGCTTCAACACACACACATACACACGCATACACACACACACACACACACACATATCAAACATACACTCAACGTACGGTTTACTTAACCAATCAATGACGAGGATTCACTTTGCAACATATTCGTCAATTGCAAAACATCACTAAAGGAGGTTACCACGTTGTTAATTCCCCATCAGGTACTACCAATTAAAATTTTGGGGGCATTTTTTTTTTTAAATTTTCGTTTTTTTTTACAATTTACGTTTTTGTTATTTATTTTTTTACAATTTACTTTTGTTTTTTATTTATTTTTTTTTTATTTTTTTTTTTACACCCGCGTCCTGGGCTGTGTTTATCGAGCCAAATAATTGAGAGAGAATTAGTTGAAAATTGGTGCGTTTATTTTTATTTTTTATTATTATTATTTATTATTTTTTTTAAAGTGTGGAGAGGTAGAAGAGGACTTTGTGCAATGCTAATGAATGAGGGTTATTGTGAATGTATGAGTGGGGGAAGAGGGAGAGAGAGTGAGAGAGAGGGAAGCAGTGAGTGAGGAAAAGGAAGGAATGAATGAAGGGTAAGAGGGGAACGGAGGGAAAAGAGGGAGAGAGTGTCAGAGTGCGTGAAAGAAGGAGAGAGGAAAAGAAGGAATGAGAGAAAGAAAGGGGAGAGAGAGTGTGGGAGGAAAAGAGGGAGAGAGAGGGGAAGGAAAGAGGATGAGGGAGGGAGGGGGGGGGCAGAGAAAATGCGTGAACTAGGGAGAGAGGGGGAGAAAAAGAGATGGGGGGGAAGGAATTGGCTCTTACCCTATCTCCCTCAATCATTATCCTCTCTCCATTTCTCTCCTAATTCCCACATTTATCACCCCTTTGCCCTGTCTCCTCCAGGTGGCTGAGCTGACCCTGCTACCTGTGACCATCACCGCAGCACGGGAGGAGGTTCTCGACTTCTCCCTCCTGCTGGGGACAACCACCTTCGGTATCCTGGCCAAGAGACCGAAGGATTCCCCTAAGCCAGACGCCCTCCTGAAACCCTTCAGTCTTGAGGTGAGGGGGGAGGGGAGGGGAAGGGAGGGGGGGAGGGGAGGGAGGATGGGGGGAGAAGATAATGCAAGTGTTATAGATATCGGTGCAGGTGTTGCAGGTGTTATATTATGAATGGTATTGTTTCACAGGTGTAATTAGTGGTGCTAAAGGTGTCAATTGTGGTGCTTACTGTATTTATTACTCTATATTTATCTGATGTTGTTACAGGTGCCACTACTGTATTGACGTTTGTGTTTATGTATTATTCTGAACTGTGTGTGTGTGTGTGTGTGTGTACATCTGTCTTTGTTAGTTTTCTCCACTCTCTCGTGATAAACTCTCCCTCTCACCTCATTCCTCCGTACTCTCCCTCCCTCACTCTCTCCCTCACTCTCTCCCTCACTCTCTCCCTCACTCTCTCTCCAGGTGTGGTGGTTGATCCTGGCGGCCACAGCGGTGATGGGGCCCCTCATCTATTTCATCATCGTGGTCAGGGTGAGGCTGTGTAAGGGTGACCCCAGACTGACCCGGGTCTTCCCTTGACCAGTGTGTTTGGTTCGTGTACGGCGCCATGATGAAACAGGGCAGTATGCTGAAGCCCATCTCCGGTAGGTGATGGGAAGGGGAGAGGGGAAGGAGGGTAGGAGGAAGGGGAGGGAGGGGGAGGATAGGAAGGGGAAGGTGGTTTGTGTACGGCGCCATGATGAAACAGGGCAGTATGCTGAAGCCCATCTCCGGTAGGTGATGGGAAGGAGAGAGGGAAGGGGAGGGGGTAGGAAGGGGAGGGGAGGGGAGGATAGGAAGGGGGAAGGTGGTTTGTGTACGGCGCCATGATGAAACAGGGCAGTATGCTGAAGCCCATCTCCGGTAGGTGATGGGAAGGGGCGAGGGAAGGGGAGGGGGTAGGAAGGGGAGGGGAGGGGAGGATAGGAAGGGGGAAGGTGATGGGGTAGGTGATGGGGGGGAGGGGAGGGGAAGAAAACAAGAGAAAGAGGGGATAAAGATGGGAATTAAGGAAAGGAAGAGGATAGAGAAAATAAGATAGAGCAAAGAAAAAGTAGGAATACATAGATGTGATAAATGTGTGATTCTCTCTCTCTCTCTCTCTCTCTCTCTCTCTTCTCCGACGTAATTTCTTTTCTCTTTACCATCATCTTCTCTCCATCTTCGCAGACTCTTCACGTATCTTCTTCACTACATTATGTCTCTCTTCTCTTAACCACCACCACCACTACCACTACCACTATCACTATCACTACCACCAACATCACCACCACCACTCCATCACCACCACCACCACCACCACCACCACCACCATCACCACCACACACCACCATCATCACCACCACCACCACCACCACCACCACCACCACCACCACCACCACCACCACTACCAGTATCACCATCTTCCCCTCATCCTCCACACACAGACTCTTCACGTATTCTCATCGCTACGTGGTGGTTATTCATCATGATCGTCACGTCATTCTACACGGCCAACTTGACAGCGTTCCTCACGTTCAATGGCCTCAAGTTGCCTATAGAGAAGGTGGAAGATCTCGAGAACTTACCTGGCGTGTCCTGGCTGGCCTTCCGGGATGGTGCCCTTGTCGAAGTCATCACGGTGAGCTTCTGGGTGTGGCTGTGGGTGTGGGTGTGGGTGTGGCTGTGGGTGTGGTTGTGGGTTGTTATTATGAATGTTGTTATTGTTTGTTATTGTTTGTTGTTGTTGTTGTAATTAATTTTTATTCTTTATTTTCCTCCTTCTCTCTACCTGTAACGGGACTAATTATCGTGTTACCTGTTTACCGGTACCTGCGGACACCTGTGGACACCTGTGGACGCCCTCAGACTCACCCTAAGTTAAAGGTCTTGAGGGATCTTCAGGCTAAGGGCCGGGGCAGGTTCATCAACTCACGGGCGGAGGCTGTAGCTCTGGTGAGGACGAACGGTACGTGTCTGTCTGTCTGTCTGTCTGTTTCTTTCTCTCTCATCACCTTTACTTACCCCCTCCCTGTCTCACCCCCCTCTCCCTCACCCTCCTCCACCCCTCATCAACCTCATCACCCCACTCCACCCCTAACTCCTCCTCCCTCACCCTCACCTCTCTCCTCACCACTTTCATCACCCACTCACCCTAACTCCCCCTCCTCCCTCACCCCCAGAATACGTATACATAGACGACATGCAAGTCCTCGAGTACCTTATACAGGAAGACTTCAAGACACAGAGGAGGAAGGAGGCGAACGAGACCTGCAGCTTCTACACCACCACCCTCACCTCCGATAAGGGCTTCACCTTCTGGTATGGTTACGGCTTCAGGAAAGACAGCGAGTACTCTGATCTCTTCAACGGCTTGTGAGTTATGTACTGTACTGTTGCTGTTAATGGTGGGTGAGGGTGGGTGGGTTGGGTGAGTGGTTGGGTTGGATGGGGTGGGTTGAGTGGGTGAGGTGGAGGTGAATGGTGGGTTGGGTGGTGGATGGTTGGTTTGGGTGGGTTGGGGGTGAGGTGGGTTGGGTTGGATGGGGTGGGTTGGGTGGGTGAGGTGGGTTGGGTTGGATGGGGTGGGTTGGTGGGTGAGGTGGGTTGGGTTGGATGAGGTGGGTTGGTGGGTGAGGTGGATTTATAGGATGATTTAGGTTGAGATGGGTGAGTGACTACAAAGAGAGCCTTTGTTTAAGTGGATGGATAGATAGATGGATAGATAGATGGATGACTGGATGGATGACTGGATGGATGACTGGATGGATGACTGGATGGATGGGTGGGTGGATTTCCTCACATACAGCCATAAACACTCCATGCTGTCCAGCTATTATCACCAGCCATCCTACACCATCCTTCACTAATATCCTTCCTTCCTTCCTTCCTCCAGTTTCCGCCGATTATCCTTCTTCGGGATCCTGAACTTCCTACACGACAACGTCACCTCCAACAGCCCAGTGTGTACCCTACCTAAGGGCTTTAAGGATCGTCGCCTCCAGAACAAGGACTTCTACACCACTTACGTCCTGGGCTCGGCGGGCGTCCTGGCTGCTCTTACTGCCCTTATCTGCGAGTTTGTCTGCCGGTGAGCTGTAGGATTTCTCTTGATGTTTGTCTTGTAGTATTTTGTAGGATGTAGTTGTAGGAGTTGTAGTGTTTCGGGGGCTTTTTAAGTGTTAAGTTTCCTTCATCCTGTTTTAAGAAGTCCAGGATGACACTGTAGGAATTTAATGATCTTGCATGACGTGAAGGACGCTGTGATTCAGAGTCTCAGTGTGTTATTGAAGCTTAAGAACCGTAGGAACCAATTCTGTGAGGTTTCCAGTGACCTTTAGAGGAAGAACGTGACCTTCACCCTCCCCAAAGAATGCTTACTTCATTCCACAGCATTACATAGGCTTCCTCAGCACAAGTTCCCTACAGCACCAACACACAGGCGACTGGTAGATGAGTAGGGAATTAATCAGGGTTTTAGCCTCGGTTTCCGTCTCCCTCCAGGAAGAGCAGGAGGACCGGACGTAACATGACTCCTCCCACTACGACGTTTACGGGAAGGATGGGCTCGACTCTCGGCTTCGGCGGGTCCTCCCAGGGCGTCCAGGACCTCAACTGGAGCAGCAACCTTCCTCCATTACCCAGCATGAGACCGAGGACGCCCTTCGAGGTGAGATATCCGCACTACAACAACAGGATGAGCTCCTCTAACACCCCCGCCGACGGGAGGAACTCGAAAAATGTCCAAATGACCATCTCGGCGAGGCAGCAGCAGCAGCACCAGCAGCAGCAGCAGCAGCAGCGACCACGGCGGGAGAAACAACACTCTCACAGGACGGGGAACATGTTTCTCGAGACTCAAAGAAGTCCTTATATTATTGAAGGTAAAATCAATAACGTGAACGTGCTGTGGGACCAAAAGAGCAGTAAGTTGATCATGCAAGATGTGTCTAAACTCAATGGTAACGTGGCGTACATCGAGGGCATCCCGTACGCCTTCTTGCAGTACAATGACACTGACGGTCCTAAGACGCAGAAGATGATTCTTACTGACCTTATCTGAGAGTGTGTGTGTGTGTGTGTGTGTGGCTCAGCTAAAACAACCACCAGATAATACCACAATAATGTATAAATTATTAACGCGTTTAAAATAGAATAATTTGCATGCAATGTTGAACTACATTTACGGGGACAGTGAGTATATTTAAATGTGAAAAGTTGCATGCATAAATTCTTCAGTTATTAGAAGAAAAAGAGTTTAAGAGCATGCAATTTGCAACTCAAGACAACAAGAGCATCAGTGAGTTTGTACCAAATTGCATGTAATATTCAACAACAAATGTGGTGGTAAGGAATATCCCTTGATATATAGTATCTTGCATGCAGTTTACAGCAAAATTTAGAAACATAGAATATATAAGTTTTTTAAAGTATAGTTAGTGGCAATGTTGCATAAATTTACTACTAAGATCTATGCCAAATACCTGAGTCAGGTTGTAGCGTCTCCTCTCATCACTGGTGGAGGTAAATGTACAAACTTAATCTAGAGAAATATTAGTTAGTGTAGTGATGATGTTTAGTGAACCCTTAATGGGGACAATTAGTTACTTCACCCTAGTTACCTGTAAAGACTTCACATAGTTAGTGTTGATGTTTTAGCAACTTAATGTGTCACTTAGAATATTTCTTAATAAACGTTTTTATTGATTAATCTCATCTCAGGCGTTTATACGAGACACACCCACTTTGAATGCACTTAAGCTGATTTTTTTGTGAGTGGTTGAACACACGAGCAACGTTTGTGTAAGTGGCTGAACAACGCCTTAACAACGTTTGTAAGTGGCAGAACACACCTTAAGCAACGTTTGTAAGTGGCTGAACACAACTTAAGCAACGTTTGTATGTGGCTAAACACACCTTAAGCAACGTTTGTAAGTGGCAGAACACACCTTAAGCAACGTTTTTATGTGGCTGAACACACCTTAAGCAACGTTTGTAAGTGGCTGAACACACCTTAAGCAACGTTTGTAAGTGGCTGAACACACCTTAAGCAACGTTTGTAAGTGGCTGAACACACCTTCGTAAGTGCAGAACACACCTTGCAACGTTTTATGGCTGAACACACCTTAAGCAACGTTTTTATGTGGCTGAACACCTACAACGTTTGTGCGGCTGAAACACAACCACAACGTTTGCATGTGGCTGAACACACACCCCAAGCAAACGTTTGTAAGTGGCTGAACACACCTTGCCAACGTTTGTAAGTGGCTGAACACACCTTGCCATTTGTAAGTGGCTGAACACACCTTAAGCAACGTTTGTAAGTGGCTGAACATCCAAGCAACGTTTGGCAAAGTGGTTGAACATAATTTTGGCAACGTTTGTAAGTGGCTGAACACACCTACAACGTTTGTGCGGCTGAACACAACTTAAGCAACGCGTTTGTATGTGGCCGAAACACACCTACAAACGTTTGTGCGGCCGAACACAACCTAAGCAAACGTTTTTATGTGGCTGAACACACCTTGCTAAACGCGTTTGTAAGTGGCTGAACACAACTTGCAACGTTTGTAAGTGGCTGAACACAACTTAAGCAACGTTTGTAAGTGGCTGAACACAACTTAAGCAACGTTTGTATGTGGCTGAACACACCTTAAGCAACGTTTGTAAGTGGCTGAACACACCTTAAGCAACGTTTGTAAGTGGCTGAACACACCTTAAGCAACGTTTGTAAGTGGCTGAACACACCTTAAGCAACGTTTGTAAGTGGCTGAACACACCTTAAGCAACGTTTGTAAGTGGCTGAACACACCTTAAGCAACGTTTGTAAGTGGCTGAACACACCTTTAAAGTTATCGTTTCAGGAAGTGGCTGAATACATCTACAACGTTTGTAAGTGGTTGAACACAATTTTTAAGCAACGTAGGTATGGAACACATCCTTATAACGTTTCGTGGTATTAAATTATTAATTTACAATGTTTAGGTGGTTGACAGTTCCATAACGTTTCTGTAAGCAGCTGAACACACTTACAACGTTTGTAGTGGCCGAACACATTCCAAGCAACGCTCTGTAAGCGGCTCGAACACACCTTAAGTAATCGCTTGCAGGTGGCTGAACAACACTTTAGTAACGTTTGTAAGTGGCTGAATATTACCTTGCTAAACGTTTGTAAGTGGTCAACATTATTCCACAATGTTTAGTGGCTGAACACACTCTAAGCAATCGTTTGTGCGGCTGAACACACCTATAAATGTTGTAAGTGGCTGAATATTAATTTTGCTAACAAGAAGTGGTTGAATACACTTGCTAATGCTTGTAAGTGGCTGAATACATTTTGCTAACGTTTAGTATGAACATTTTCACCTTAGCAACGTTTGTGGTTGAAGTACACCTTAAGCAACGTTTGTAAGTGGCTGAACACACCTTAAGCAACGTTTGTAAGTGTAGTTTTAACCAGCGATATAATCCCTTGACTCTTTCTATATTGCTTCAGGTACACAGAGCAACGCGAGTATTCTGAGGAGGGACTGCATGCCCACGACGTTGCCATACTGTTAGTGCATAGGGCAACAGTACAGGGTGGTGCAGCATGTGGACTGCTCTAGGGGTAGGGAGGAGTGATGTAGGATATGGCAAGGACTTCCTCATGCCCTGAAACGAGATTCTTGTTGGTCCTACAGTCGTTTGGTGAAGGAGAGTTCTCGCGGCCACGATGAGACGAAAGGATCTTGAGGAATTCCTGAGCCTTCGCCCAGCAATTGAAGGATTTCAAGCACTTAAGGACTCCCAAGACCGCCGCCTAAGGATTCCCAAGACCGCAGCCTAAGGATTCCCAAGACCGCAGCCTAAGGATTCCCAAGACCGCAGCCTAAGGACTCCCATGACCGCAGCCTAAGTAAAGACTCCTAAGACCGCAACCTAAGGATTCCCAAGACCGCAACCTGAAGACTCCCAAGACAGGTTGGACTCCCAAGACCGCAGCCTCGGGATTTCCAAGACTGCAGCCTAGGGATTCCCAAGACCGAACCCAAGGACTCCCATGACCGCAGCCTAAGGACTCCTAAGACCGCAACCTAGGGATTCCCAAGACCGCAACCTGAGGACTCCCAAGACCGCAACCTAAGGACTCCCAAGACCGCAACCTAGGGATTTCCAAGACCGCAGTCTAAGGACTCCCATGACCGCAGTCTAAGGACTCCTAAGACCGCAACCTAAGGACTCCCAAAGACACTCACCTCCAAGGACCACCAAGGACACTAACCTCCAAGAACCGCCAAGGACACTTACCTCCAAGGACCACCACGGACACTCAAGGACCAACACGGACACACCTTCAAGGACCACCACCACGGACATTTACCTCCAATTATCTTGATTAAAAAGTCAATGAGTCAAATTTATGGACAAACACACCTGGACACAACACACCTGGACACAACACACCTGGACACAACACACCTGGACACAACACACCCGGACACAACACACCTGGACACTTGGGTAATATCATCATCTAATTCAGGGTTACATAGGTGAGATGATGGTAACAATTGTATATATATATTTACTTTGTGTTTCATTTACATTATAGAGTCTCTACTGTTACTTATAATAAAGAGTTAAGTAGCTATCTAAACCACCCATTAAGTAGATACCACCAGGTGTTGAGTGTCCAGGTAAGAAGACATTGTAAATAATGATTCCTTGAGTAAATTCAGGAATATCTTTGTCAATGGATTGTAAATTTGTAAAATGATTAGATTTTTTTTAAGGAATTTTAATCTGATTTGTAAGTTGTAAATTGTTGTTGTTTATGGGGAAAAAATATGGAATTGGTTTTGTTAGGAGGATTATTTTGTGTTTTTGTAAAAATTTTGTCATTTGTGGAAGAATTTGTCAAAGTTGGGAATTTTATTTATTATTGTTAGAAGTAGGTTTGGTTATACTAATGATCGCTATTAATATTGTTGCTTCGGCTATTATTGTGGTGATTATCTATGATTATTATTATTATTATTATTATTATTATTATTATCTATTATTATTATTATTATCTGTTATTATTATTATTATCTGTTATTATTATTATTATTATTATTATTATTATTATTATTATTATTATTAGTAATTATGATAAAACTATTGTCATTATTAATAGTAGTTATTACAATACTCATCAATACAATAGTTAAGACCCTTAACTACAATAGTACAATACAGTAGTGAGAAAGTACAGTACACACCTGTCTTGCCTGTACAACCCTTCAGTACCGCACAGAGCACAAGCATCACATTAACCTGCCCCGAGATGTACTTAGATGATATTAACCTAACTTAACCTAACCTTACCTAACCTAACCTAACCTAACTTAACCTAACCTAACCTAACCTAACCTAGAGCATAGCACCTTAAGTAACCTGTAGAGCTTTGTTAGGGATATATTACAATGCTCTGTTCCTATATAGCATTAGTAGACAGCAAGTATTTCACGTGTACAGTTAGGTTGATTCTATACAACTAGAATAGGTAAACAAACATGACGTAATCAGTGACGTCATGATAGGTAAACAAACATGACGTAATCAGTGACGTCATGATAGGTAAACAAACATGACGTAATCAGTGACGCCATGATAGGTAAACAAACATGACATAATCAGTGACGTCATGATAGGTAAACAAACGTGACGTAATCAGTGACGTCATGACATAACCCCCCCCCTTTCCCTATAAACAAGACATGTCCGTATGTATGAATGTATGTAAAAATAATACATATATGACAGAAAATACACATATATAAGAAGAGATGTACACGTATATATGTATAGATTTATAAGCACTAAAGCTGGAGGGTATAACAGGTAGAGGTGGGATATTAACCTACCTTTAATTAACAGGTGTACAACTGTTCATTATTAATAAAAACTTCAGCACAAGGTAGTTATGATTCTGTGACCTTATTAACTCTATTACTCCTCTCTCTCTCAGGTGATACAGGTACAGTACAGGTTTTATTCTCGTGCTGCAGGGAGGAGAAGGAAGATACAGTTTTTATGTAATATAGATTTGATTTTGTTTGTTTTTGTTTGTTGAATAAGTAAGTAATTTTTGTTAAGATATGTAATTGAGCTGTTGAGTACGTAGAGTAATGTGTACTCATCAGTAGAGTACATAGTGGTAAGTTGAGTACGTATTGTGTACTCATCAGTAGAGTACATAGTGGTAAGTTGAGTACGTATTGTGTACTCATCAGTAGAGTACATAGTGGTAAGTTGAGTACGTATTGTGTACTCATCAGTAGAGTACATACAGTGATGAGTTGAGTACGTATTGTGTACTCATCAGTAGAGTACATACAGTGATGAGTTGAGTACTTGTCTCTAAGGTGATGGTCAAGTGTTAAGATTGATCCTTAGACGTTATGCAACCAGAAAGGGGAGGTGGGGGAGGGGGAGGGGGAGGTGGAGAAGGGGAGAGGAGGGGAAGAAGGGGGTGGATGAGGAGGAAGAAGAAGTGTGTAAGGGGGGAAAAGAGGAAAGTGGAGGAGAGGAAGAGGAGGGGAGAGGAAAGACAGAGGGCTAGGAGGTGGGAGGAAGGGAAAGAAGAAAGAAGAGGAGGGGTAGAAAAGAGAGAGGAGAGGAAGAGAGAGACAGAGAGAAGAATGAGAAGTCTTAAAACACACACCCCCCCCCCCCCCCCCCCTCCCCCCGACCACCACTCTATGATTCACGACAGCCAATAAGAGTCGGGGGAAATATGCGTTATAGACACGAGACAATGAAAATAAACGTCGTTGAGGACAAGAAGATGCCAAGCCACGACGGACCATAAAGGTGAGAGTCTCTATCTATAGCTATGGGGTAAGTCACCTCTATGAATGGGTTAGGGGTTAGTGCCCATAGTGCCTAGAGGGTGTCACCGGTTGGGCGTGGGATGCCAACTTCGATATGCAAATGAGGAGAGCGAGAGAATGTTTGGTGCAGTGACACTCTCTCTCTCTCTCTCTCTCTCTTCTATATTTTTCTCCTACCTATTCTTCTTCTCTTCTCCTCCTCCTCCTCCTCCTCCTCCTCCTTATCCCCCCAGGATGTAAATTGAGTGTACTTGGGTGTATAACTACCTGTTTGTATACCACTGTGTGTATATTCAACACCGGGTATACCATATTGAGGTGTATCTGGGTATATTCATCTTCTATTCAGTATTACACAGGATATACTTAGTCTTGTAATTGGATATACACATTTTCTCTGTTGTATTACTCAGAATTTAAATAAATACCGGACACAAGCAACACAAGACCAAAGAGTGTAATTGGAGTGTAATTGGGTGTATTTCCCGCAGTGTAATTGGGCCATGGGGTGTAGGTAAGTGTTTCCCTCCCCCCCTCCTACACCCCTACTGTGCCCCCCCCCTCCTACACCCCTATTCCTCCATGGTAGACAATAACACCCCCACAAAAACACACTCCCCTCCCCATCTCCCCCTCCCCTACTCATGTACACACACATACACACACACACATACACACATATATACATACATACACCTGGTCAGATTTATATGCAAATTAGATCATACGTGTGTGGCTCCCCAGCGATGATGCGACCCATGGCTGCTGTGGTGTGTATGTGGGGAGGAGGGGGAGGAAGAAGCGGGAGGAGGGGGAGGAAGGGGCAGGAGGAGAATGAGGAGGACGGGGAGGGATAGCTCAGACCCCCCCCCTCCCTATCCGTCTCTCCTCACTACTCCTCCTAAGCCTCTTCCTCCACTTACCCTCATGACATGTCCTCTTTCCCCCCCTCTCACCTCCCCTCCCTTTCCCTCCTTTCCTCACTCCCCTCCTTCCCTCTCACCCCACCCTTCCCCTCACCTACTCTTCCCCCTTCTTCCGGAGAAAGACAGGGTTACTACACTGACCCAACACAACATGTATGCGTAATTATTCCTCCAGTAATTTGTCAATATAATTCTTACTCTGTTACATAATTATTAAAGTAATAAACAAAACAACAGTTAGTTTATATATAGACATCTGGGCCATGTATATTAGTGTAGACACATCTGGTCCTCATAATGTGTGTGGACTCCAGGCATCAGACACACTGTTGTTACCTTGTTGTTAGTGACGCTGTTTATGTTATTGTTCCTGTCTCTCACTCCTTTCTCCGGTACTTGTTAGTTATTGTTCTAGTGCAGTGGATAAATGACAGGAAGAGAGAGAGAGAGAGAGAGAGAGAGAGAGAGAGAGTAAGATCCGATGTCAACATGAGTCACAAACACCAGGAATTGAGGAGAGAGAAAAATAAAAGAGCATCGTAATTATCCGTATCCAAAACATGTGGTCATAACACCTCAGCGGCTGATGAACATAACCTGATCCTAAACCACAGCATCTGATCCCTTTATTAGCTAATGAGCCACGCTCTTCCCCTCTATTACCCTCCCCTCACTCCCCCCTCCCCTCACCCCCCCCCCTTCGCCCCAAAACCCCCCTAAGGGCGTGACCTGAACCGGTGTGGAGGTCAGAGAACGTCACTTCTAATCTTTCGAGATAATCGGGTTAGAGATCATAATTAACCGAGGGCTTGTGGGCTCTGATCCCTTATAGGTGTCACTCGGAGGATCGAATCCCCTCCCAGCGATGCTCCCGGACCCCAACCCCATCACTCAATTATTGCGTTTATTACCAGGGGGCCGCGGGAGGGGGATTAGGAGAGCATTAAAGGCGATCTGGTCCCCACCGACACAATAACAGTGGGGTGTTGGATACCTCTCATCTAGCGACGGAGTATTGGTGCAGGTGGCGGAGAGGAGACGAAGAGATAAGAGGAGATGGAGAAAAAGGAAGGGATGGAAACAAAGGATGACAGGAAGAGAAACATAATATATTAGTAAAAACAGAATATAAGGAAGAGAAGCAACCACACGAACAACAAAAACAACCACACGAACAACAAAAACAACCACACTTACAACATTGACTAGTGTTCGAAACCTAAAACTGCAACTGATGGGTGTGTTCGAAGCGTGGTAGTCATTACTGGTAGTGTTCGAAGCGTGGAAATAACACGCAGTGTTCAGCGTGGTAGTCATTAATGGTAGTGTTCGAAGCGGTGGTAGTCATTAATGGTAGTAAAATTTGTATGTGGTAGTTTGGGTTAATGGTAGTGTTTCGGAAGGTGGTAGTCATTAATGTAGTGTTCGAAGCGTGGTAGTCATTAATGGTAGTGTTCGAAGCGTGGTAGCCCGGGTTAACGGTAGTGTTCGGAAGCGGTAGTCATTAATGGTAGTGTTCAGCGGTAGTCATTAATGGTAGTGTTCGAAGCGGTAGCTGGTTGTACGGTAGTGTTCGAAGCGGTAATTGCCACGATAGTGTTCGAAGCTTAAAGTTCTCTGGTTGAAAGTGTTCGGAACGTGAATTTCTGTAATAATAAATGTTCAAATTAAAAAAAACAAAAACAAAGCAAATTCATCAGAAAATAAATTTAGTCACAGTTCGAAATCTTCTGCTCAGGCGCCTTTTGGCCTCGAGGGGGAACCTTGCGACAAGAAGTACCTCAGGCCCACGGACGTACTCCATGCACCGCAACACGACACACTACACGACACGACACTACACGACACAACGCGACATTACACGACCCGACACGACACGACACAACGCGACATTACACGACCCGACACGGCACGACGCAACGCCAGTCTTGTGATTTAAAACCCGGTAATCGACCTGTCCTCTCAAATTTCACACGTCTCAGGAACCTCCAACTAAGTTTTTTTTAATTCACGCCCCCTGTTCCTGACAGTTTATAACGGTTTTTAACGGTTTTAACTGTTGTTTTTTTACGGTTTATACTGTTTGAAATGGTTTATAACAATTCATATCTGTATATAACTATTTTAACAGTTCTTAACGGCGCGTAACGGTTTAGAACGGATGTTTTTATTATTATTATTATTATTCTTTCACACACATACACACATCTCAATTCAAATGTAATCGAACTGAACTTGAATTAGAATCACAAACAATGTAATTTCGGATAGGTCCTCTGAGGCCTCGGATTTGTTACATTGGCAATCATTGGCTCGGAAGGAGTGCATTCCCTAGGGCTTTAACCAATCACAAACAACCTTTCATCCCAGCAAGGCTACCCCGGCTCTTGCCATATTTTTTTTGTTTGGTTGCGCGCGGACACCAAATATGATCATTCCATTTCGATAGTTTTGCCAATATCATTCGGTGTTTTTTGGTGTTTGTTATTTGTTTATTTATTTATTCTTTGTGTGTGTGTGTGTGTGTGTGTGTGTGTGTGTGCATAATGTACGTAGTCTATAGGAGGGTGTAGATGGGGGTTGAGGGGGAGGTTGTGGGGTATTTGTGGTGGGGATTGGGGTTGAGAGGGTAGGGAGTAAGGGGTGGGGGAGGTAAGGAAGGGAGGAGGGTAGGGAAGGGGGGAGGTCTATTGATAACTGCCCAATAGATGTACACCCTACCCCTTTCCCTCCTCCTCCTCACACTACCACCCAAACACGCCTTTATCTTCTCATATTCCCCTCCCCTTCCCTCCCTTCCCCTACATACTTTCCTCTCCTCTCCTCCCCCTCCTCCCCCCTCCTCCCCTCACCCCTTTGCTTGGTGTACGCAATACATCCGATTCCCGGGAGGCCCAGCCAATCACAGTTAAGTGGGGCCGCACAAAGAGCCAATAGGCGCACACGGATAATAGCCACACACGCACGCACACACACACACACACACACTACTGACCATCGACTTTAAAACTTTGATCTGCCCGTAAAGTCAATTTCGTAGGATCACTAAACTTAAAAGTCAGCAACAACAGATATAATTAAACTACCCCTGAATGACTTAATTACTGTCATATAGTGCGGAGTTAATATCATCCTAGAGGCGAAAATCATAACCATT